GAGGGCGGGGGAATCTCAGCCAAGCCGGCACCCCTGCTTTTCTCCACTGACGGGCGCTGCCCGTGTGTGGGCCGCCATCGGGGCCTGGAAAAGGCATGGGCTCTGCAGGCCGAGGGCGTGCGCGAGAACTGTGGTCCGAGCTGCCAGGACCATCACTCCAATGAGCTTGTTTTCTGGAGCCAAATTTAAAATATCTGCATCCTGGGTTTGTGGTGAAAACCAAGTAAGATGAACACGCGTGTGCGCTGTAAGCTGCCAAGCGCGCCAGGGAGGGGCCTGCGCCAGCGGGTGAGAGCGGACACGCGGGCCTGCGGCCTCAGCGCCAGCTGCCCTCACTTGCCGGGTGCTGGGCTCTCTGGGCTACCTCCTCCCTGGAAAAGGGGTTACTACAAGTCCCTCTCAGAGGCGCCTCGAGAAGCTTACCTCAGGAAAATGCCCGGCACATAAGGAGCTCTCAGTGTGTGTCAGCCACAGCCATCCTCTCGGATATGGGCCAAGGCCAGTCCAGATGCAGGGAGACCCGGGAGACCCTGACCCAAAGGCGCTCCAGCCGGGCCTTCCGGGTAGACCAGTTGCCCCCTCTCAGCCTCACTGCCCCCGGGAGTAACGGCTCTGCTTCACGGGGTTGTCCCAGTTAAGGAAGGGGGCACTCGGGGGGCGGTCAAGCTGTTACGTGGGGTTGTTGACCAGAGTAGTGGTTTCCGGGATCATTTCTGTATGTGGCCCTTGGCCTGACCCCCCCCCCCAACCCACCGCGGTGTCTCCTGGGACACTGAGGGGGGCTTGCTTTTAAGCATCAAAGCACATGGGCCAGGCTTGGTCAAGGCTTGGGCTGCTCGGCCTGACGTGTGAAGGACAAGGCCGAGGAGTTGACGTGGGATAGCATCTAATGTCGATTCCAGTGCCCCAGCTCAGAAAGCAGCCCCAGGGCTGCGCGGGAGAGCGTGCGGTGTTGTCCAGATGGAATCACAAAGGTGGCATCATGACTCATCCACAGATGGAAAATGATGCTCAGCAAAGATGTCACCCGCTCATTGCTGAAGGGGCCGGGGGGATATTTAGACCAGCTGGAAAAGCCTCTGAAGACCTAGGTGTTTGTGGGTGATTTAACGACAGGCTAAGAACAATGGGTTAGATGTGTAATCAGTGGCCTACAGGGCAAATCCTAGCCTTTGAGGCATCGTTTTCAAAAGGCCAAAGCTTATTTGTATTTGCACCTCTGCTGACCAAAACTCTGTATGTCAACATGTAACTCCAAGTCTTGGGGTTGAGCAAAGGAATTTCTCTAATGGGAATGTAGGGAGCAAGGTCAAACATATGACCTTCAGGTCGTGCCACTGCTGTGTTCTGCTTTGTATCTAAGACTTAGATATTTTCTTTTAACCGTGATACATACGTGTCTGCTTTTACTTTATGATCTTTTAATGTCTCATGATATTTGCAACAGCCCTCTTGTGGCACAAGGAACAGGAAAAGGAAAAGTCCTTTTTTTCAGAGGTTGGGATGGAGTTAAATGAGGGATTAAATGGTGGAGTTAAAGAGGAGGGAGAAGCAGAGTTGGGAGGGGAACCCCCACTTTCTAATCCCCAACTCCAAGCTCATCCCCTGTGCCTCTCCGTCCTCCGTGGGTCTTGGGTCTTGGTGACATCCCCCCACTGCAGCCCTCCTGCGGGGCCCCTCAAAGGCAGATGCTCACAGGAGGGTGGACTCCCCCGGCCCCGGCCTCTCTGCTCCAGTGCTGGTTAGCTCCCCACAAGATTCGGTTCCTCGCTGGCACAAGCTCCACACCCGCCTGTCCTGCGCCAGAGAAGACTGTCAAACATTTCATCGACCCCTCGGGAGAGAGGATAGAAAGACGCTGCGTTCTCAGAACCCATGCTTCAGTGATTTCTCCTGTCAAGCTCCCCTCTCAGCTGCCGCGAGGCACCCCCTCTGCCGCGAGCCCTTCATCAGAGCCAGGGCCCACATCAGAGAAACCTACTGTTTATAAACCAGAACATCTTGTTTGAAACACTCTTTCTGGCTGGGTTACCCCTTCGGTAAACAGGACGGTCCTCTGCGTGGAGCTGACCTAGTGAAAGGCACACAGTGGACAAATGTCCTCTCCTGTTAAACGGTCAGCCGGGAAACCGCTGCAGGTGCACCCGACGCCGGCTCTTCCTCCCAGGCCATTGTTTCCTCACCACGATTTCTGTTGCCATGGAAACAGTCCCCCCAGCAGGATGGGGTCCTAGGTCACCCCTGTTCCAGCCCCTAGACAGACAGTTGGCATTGACGTGAACCAGAGAGGGTGCCACTAGCAGAGCGGACTCTGAAGTCCCCCCCAAATTCTGGAGCTGGAAGAAAATTTCATCTTTGAGAACCTCTCTCTGATTGGGGCCTCGCCGATGTCTTCACAAGATGTGATGACAACTACCGCAAACACTCCGTGCATAACGAGTGCCTGCTGAGCCCTTCTCCCTGGGCACCTGGCACCCAGAATGCTCATGAGCTCCCCCAGGCCCTGCAGATCCTGCACCCAGACTCTGCTCAAATCCAGCAGAGGAAGGGGACAAAATTGAGACAACCACCCAGGCCTGCTGACCCCAGAGCCTGCACCTCTCCCCTGAAAGTAGCTGCCTGCTCCCCACCCTCCTCTCACTCCTGCTGTGGCCTGACACCTGGAGCCTTTTGGAACGTTCTTCCCATCCACTGCCCGCCAGCTGGTTCTATTAGATCATGTCCTCGTCCCCCCAAAGCCATGAACCACTGTGAACATCTGGCAGAACCAGGCTTCTCTGAAGAGGACACTTTCTCACTTCCCAGGGAGCAGCCTGGCTGGGCGGGGTCAGGGCAGGTCCGGCTGCCAGGAATCAGTGGGGGGTGGACTCCAGGAGCCCCCGCCCCGGCCCACAAGGCCAGACACTGCTGCTTCTCAGCAAACCCAGGCCAAGCACTGGGGCCTCTGTCCTGGTAGGATCCCTGTTAGCACCACACCCGCCCCCCTCCTTAGCAGATGCTGCGCTCCCCACACAGGCTCATGGCCTGTTTGGAAATGCTCCAGCATGGCTCTGCTGTGTCCAGGCCTCCGGCCCCTGGGTCTTCCCGAAGTGACCCAAAGAGGAAGCCTAATTTATGGGCTGTTCCATCCAGGGTGACCAACGAAGCTCCCAGATGCTGTGTGACCCGGTGGCTGCGTTGTAACTGGCTAGTCCAACCCGAAGCTGGGAGGTCTCACGTGCCCAGGCTTCGGGGCACAGAGGGCTGTGTGGGGACCCCAGCACTGGCAACAGGATGGCACCAAGCATAGCCGGAGCGCCGTCCTTTTCATTTTAACAAGAACCATGCACAGACGGCAGTGGGCGCCAGGCTCCCTCTCAACAGAGCGACCTGATGCCCCAAGGCTGTGGACGCAAAGCCAGGGCAGCATGTGAAGTGCCAGGTCCCCAAGAGGGGAGCTGAGCCGCTGTTGTGGGAGCACTGGGGAACAGAGAGGTCCTGGGAAGAACAGCTGTTTCTTTCCCTGTTCCTCTTTGAATATAACATCTGCCATGAATTTAGCCAGTGGAACTCCCAAGTTCCACCCCTTGCTTGTTCCCCACTTGGCAGCGAAGAGCAGATGGGAAATGGCTCGAAGAGCATGTGGGGAGAGCACACCCCACCCTCCAAGACCCTCTGTGCCTTTTCACCCTTGCACATGCCCTCCCTCCCACTGGGAACCCCCTTCTTTTCTGCCTGCTCATCTTGCACAATCCCAGGTCACCTCCTCTGAGAAGCCTTCCTGGACTTCCCCATCCAAGTTTATAAACACCCACCCTCTGCTCCTAAATTGTGCAAAGCTATGGCAGCAACCATTTCAGTACCTAAAATCACCAGGCACTGTACGTGCATGTTATCTCTGCACCCATTTCACCTATGAGAAAACTGAGTCTCATTTGCAAGATCAATACAACTAGTAAGTCTTAAAACTTGGTGTGGAATCCAGGTCTCTCACACTCCCAAGTGCACATCTTCCTACTGCACAAGGGGTACCCCGCAGACATACCCCTTCCTGGAGCAGGTGGGATGTGCGTCCCTCCCCACCTGCCCAGGGCTGTGAGCTTCTCCAGGGCCTGGCGGTCCCTCCGCTGGGCGTTCGCAGATGCCAAAGGATGGAGCAACAGCGTGCTGAGTCCAGCAGGCATCTCCTCGCCTCACTGGTCGGGAGGCCCCTGCCACTGCTACAGTCGCCCCCTGCGTGCATACCTGCACCAGGTGTCCCCACCCCGCCCCATAAACAGTAAGTTTCTCAGGGTTAACATGATTAGAGTCTCCTGGGCGCCTTGAGTGCAAATTCTGACTGCAGGGCCAGGGAGGCTCAGGGTCTGGGTCTCTGGACAGGCACTTGGCTTGAAGACCCCCTGGGAGAGCTGAGTAGGTTCAAACCCAGCTGCTCTGCGGGGCGGCCAGTCACGAATAATAAACCCATCTCACATGCTCTTCTGTTTCCAAAGGATGGCCAGCCCTTAAAGGCTCCTGATTTTCCACATTTTAGCAAAATATTTAAGTAATGCTTTGAGCTCTAAACATTTGGCAAGAGGGCCATTCCTTTGTGCCTGTAGCTTTGGTTTAATCACACCCTGTCAATAAATCACAAGTGCATGAGGGACAGGAGACCGTCGCTAGAAGAGTCCATCCAAGGACAAGCTGATCAGTGGGGTGGGGGGTGACCGGTGGGGTGGGGTGGGTCCAGGGGACCCCCCGCAAGAGAGAGTCCAATGCCCAGGACAGCCGTGGAGGCCGGCCTGCGCCCGCATTGCACTTTCACTGGGAAGGACACTTGATCACGGAGGCCACGGGGCCGCCCCTGCCCGCCCGCCCGCCCGCCGCCCCTGGTGAACGGCGAGAGCCAGCTTGCTCGTCTCCAGGCCTCCGCGCCCCACACGGTCCCTCTGCTCACCCGCCAAGTCTCGGAGCGGTCACGCCTCCCCAGTCCAAAACGTTTGGAAGGAAAACACCCTCTTTTCTGCCTCCTTTTCCAGATGTCGCTGGGCCAGCAGCCGTCAGCGAGAGGCGCGCCGTGCGTGCGGTGCCAGGGGACGTGCTCGGGCTTCGCGCCACACTCGTGGAGGTAACGGCCGTGTCAGCACAGGCCCGGGCTTGGCTGTCCTCCCCGGGAACCCTGCGCCTCCCGCGGGCCCGAGGGGGTGTGCGTGGCTGGGCGGGACGGCTGGGTGCGTGCCTCCCACTCGACAGCAGGAGGATGGAGCACGCTGCATCCCAAACCTCTCAGGTGGGGGCTGCGGCCCGGCCTCGTGGAGTGGCCCGAGAAGACACAGCTGTCACCCCTGGGTGCCGTCCAGCGGGGCAGAACTGTCCTGGGTTTGACCTGGGGTGGCTCTCCCCCCGCTGCTCTGCTCTCCGTGTGGGTGGGCTGGAGGCCAGCATGCCCCGGGAGAAGAATAGAGGCCCCTGAGCCATCCTCACCCCACTCACCCCTACCACCACTGCCCCCCGCGTGGACAAGCAGAGGGAGGGAGGGCAGATGCCCCACCCCCAGAGCAAGGCCGGGCCCAGGTAGGACTGCCCCCAGCTTGGGGGGAGGGAGGAGGCTCTGCCAGGCAGCAAAGACACAGCTTTTATCCCCACACCCAAGGGTGACCTTGGACGCTCCTTGGGGCAACATAATTCGGGAAGTTTCGTCTCAGAGACCTTGAGCTCCCTCCTGAAGTGGCAGTTCCAAAAATGATGGTGGGACCGAGCTAAGGCTTCCATGGAAGTGTCAGGCTAGTCCCGAGCAGCGGGGATCGGCATCCCCAGAGGAAGGGCTCTGGGCTGGTGGCTGCTAAACGGCAGCATCGGAACTCAGTCTGGGTGTAGCCCCACTGTGTGCTCCGCCGAGCCACAGCCCCGGGGCTGTTCAACACGCTCGCCCCTCCCGCTCCGGGCCTGGTGTCCGCCCCCCACGGCTGGTCCGTCAGTTTCCTCTGTCTGGCCTCTCCAGCGGCCATTTCAGCGGCGGGGGGACCTTTCCTGGGCGGCTGGAAAGAATGGGTGACCTGTGTAGCCCCCGCGAGGTGGCTGCCAGTGAGGGCGGAGCGCGGGGTCCACCACCGGGACGCCGCCCCCAAAAGCGCCGTACGCGGGTTAACATTTTCCACTTGAAAATGTCTCACGTGACATCCCTGAAGGCGTCGCTGGCACCCGCCGGCCATTCCTCGTCCAGGCCCGTGGACGGAAGGTGAAGGGAGGTCAGGATCCCGTGGGTGCTGGGCCTTCCCTCCCCACCCCTCCGCGCCCCCTTTCCAGCTCCCTCCCCCACGGGAGCCGCAGCTGCTGTTACCCAGCCTTGCAGGGAAGCCGTGCCCCCCAGCCCCACCACTGCCAAACAGCTCTCCTCGGAGCAGGGGAGCCCGCTTCTGTTTGCCCTGCACCACCTGCCGGGTCCAGTCCCCCTCTGCGGTGCTGGAATTTCCCTGGAGGGCGCCGTGTCCGCTTTCCAGGCTGCAGCCGCTGACCGTGAGCCGGACTGCTGAGCTGCATGGTGGCCTCACATCCGGGAAGCAATCCTGCGCTAAAGAAGCCCCTTCCACCTTTGGGTGCCTGCTCTTTGCCAAGCTGTTCACCAGCAGCCCCATCCCTTGTGCCGCCGGCCTCTCTCCCGGGCCTGGCCAGCAGGACTCTGCACCCCCACCTCCCACCCAGCCTGTGGCTACTTCCTGTGGACCTCGCACGCAAGGCCCCTTCCAGGTGGTCGGGGGTGGCCTTCTCTTACTATTAGGAGACGTTCCCACCCGCAGCACTGCTGCCATTCCGGACAGGCTCATCCTTTGCTGGAGAGGGGGCTGTCCAGTGCATTGTGGGGTGTTCGGCAGCACCCCTGGGCCCCAGCATGTTGCAGCTGGTAACGCTCCACTGTGACATAGCCAAGTGCTCCCAGCCAAGTGCTCCCAGAGCCCAACTTACACCCTCAGGGCCCCCTGAATAGCACCATCCAGGACCTGTGATGCATGGTGACTGGCGCGTGAATTTGGAAGCACGCGGGGTCCCACCGGGGCCTGTGCAGGTTTGTGTGGCTGGGAAGCTTGAGCCGCTGCAGGGACGCCTCCCTTGCTTGGCTGCCCACCCCCCGGGAGGTCCTGCCCTTACTCCCTTTACCTCTCAAGCTCTTAAATCGCTCGCTGTAGAATATCTGAGACACAGCAAGACCTGGGCGACAGGCCAGAAAGGGAACACCCGGTTTTCCTCTGAACTCTCTGGATTGCTAAACCGAACGCTAGACCTACAGCAGCCAACTGCTTTAGTTTTTAATTGTCAGAGAGAAACGACAGGCTTACGTGAGCTTGACACTTCCCCAGATGCTCCCACCGCCACCCTGATCAAGAAGAAGCCTTGCCAGGGAACATCACTCTCGGGGGGTGCAGGGGCAGGTGTGGGCTTTCTGCTCAGTCCCTTCCCTGGGCCCTGGCCGCAGCTTCCTGACTCCCCTGCCCAGCTGTCCTCTAGCTGCAGCGTGAATGCTGAAGAGTTTAAAAGTTGAATTGCCGAGGCTCATGAATCTTGGGAGACATTCTTAATAGTTCTTTACCAAAACTTCTTGGTAAAAGGCCAAAGGGTAGATATTTTGGGCTTTGCAGGTCACATGGTCTCTTGTAAATTCTGAGTGTGCCCCTGGCTGATTGGCAGTGAACAGGCATGGGTGTGTGCCAATAAAACTTTATTGACAGAGGCAGGTTGAGGGCCGGGTCAGCCCATGGTGCACCCAGACACCTTGCTTCAGAACATCTCTCCTGAGTGATCCAAACCATCAGGAGGAGAACTGTGCTGCTCTTTCACCAGCAAAGGTCATCTCCCACAGTCCCCACAGAGAGAGCCATAGGAAGACCACAGTCTCGCAGAAGCAGCTTCCAGCCCCTGAGCCTTCCAGGCTCGGGTCCCGTGCCCACTGTCTGCTGCTGACCTTTCCAAGCTACTCGACTTAAACGCTACACTTGCTCTCAGAGGGGCAGAGGCTGCGGCAGGAGACCTGCCTCTCCTCCCGGCAGGTCAGCTCATGCCTCTTCTCCCACCCACAGGAAGATCTGCAAGACATGCAAGTGCAGCCAGGAGGCCCACTGCCTGAGCTCCGACCTGGAGGATGACTGCAAAATTGGCCGCCTGCTGACCGGCTCCAAGTACTCCACCCTCACAGCCAGGGTGAAGGGTGGGGACGGCATCCGCATCTACAAGAGGAACAGGATGATCATGACCAACCCCATCGCCACGGGGAAGGACCCCACCTTCGACACCATCACCTATGAGTGGGCTCCCCCTGGAGTCACCCAAAAACTGGTAAGGCGGCTTCCTCCAGCCAAGGGGCTGCTTCCCTCCCCCTCGTAAACACTGCCCGCGCCGGGGTTCCTGAAGTCAAAGCCGAGGTAAGAGGAGGCAGGTCACAAAATGGTGGGGAGAGCAATGGCCTCTACCTGCCTGTACCCCTTGGGGTCCTGGGGACCCAAAGAAAGTCCCTAAGCACAGGCCAGGCCCAGACTATGAAATCCAGACGTGGCTTTGAAGGAATCCCCAAGTAACCCAGCTGCAGGCACCTTCTGACCCAGCGGCCCAGAATGGTGCTCCTCAAATTCATCATGCATGGAAATCACCTGGAGAGCTTGTAAATGCACCCTGAGCCGCAGGATTGTGTACCCCTGACAAGCGCCAGTCCCCAGGTCACACCTAGATGGCCCTGTGAGTTAATGTGATAAAAGGGGTGCAAGCCTGCCGCATGGTTGAATCTCTGCTGGGAAAACAGGGGCCTTTGGGGGTCCTCTCGGTGCCTCCTGACACCTTACAGCGCACGGACCTTCCTCCCCTCCTGTGACACAGAGCAGTCCCCCTCCTTGGGGACCTGGCACCTGCTCTTCCCTACTGGAAGTGGCCTTTCCCTGCTCTTTGCATGGCAAGGTCCTTGTGACCTTCAGTGCTCGCATTCTCTCTCTCTCTCTAGCGCCCTCTCCCCGCCCCCCATGATTCCTTACATGCTTTCAGTGCAGGCTGTCATCAGGCCACGGTGCCTTGCTTACTCTCGCCCCCAAAGACTGAAGCATCATCCCCGTGCTGTCCCATGCATGTCCCATCCAGCCCCACAATTCAGGACCCTCCTGGCCAGTGACCCTCGACATGGGGCCCAGGAACTGCGCCCCCACCACCACCAACTAGAAGTGCAGAAACAGAATCATGGTTGGGAGATTTTTGTAGCGTTTGACCCCCAGAGGGGTGACCAGGGAGCTCCAGAACAGAATCTGGCCCCACTGGTGAGCTGTGTCCCCACACGAGGCCACACGGGATCCTATAGCTGGGGATAAAAGCAAACGCAGAACCCCGGATCCTGCCCCGGAGAGGGTTTGAGTGACCCCGTTCTACACAGTAGCTATTTAGATGGGAGTGGGGCGATCCCTTCTAGAGAAAGGTTTTTTTAAATTATGCCTTTTGAAATACCTGTTTTCAAAGAACACACGAGCCTTCGTGAGCTCGACCACCACGAGTTAGGGTTAATCTTACGTGTAAGGAGACATGAGATTGTCCACGGCCAGCAGAGGGTGGAGGACCCTGGGGCACATCCCGGGCTACAGAGTTGGCCTCAAGTACCCCCCCACCCCTCAACCCCTGGCCCCCAGGCATGTCGGTGGTTCTGACTCAGGTCGGCCTGCAGCGGCCACGTCTGGGTAAGCCATCTGGTTCCCAAGATGTCAGTGGAAACTAGAGCTGGCAGCTCGTAAAAGAGCCAGCTGTGGGCGTCAGGAACTGGCTGGTGAAAACCCAAAAGCCTGGGCCCAGCCTAGCAAGAGGAAGGCATTGCCGGCGTTGATGCTGCTCATAAAACCCCAGGCTCCAGAGGCCCCTGTCTGCTCTGCGTCTGGCCAGCCTGCCAGCCCGCTGCTGTGCCTCCCACCCGCGCTCAGGGACTTTCCCTTAATCACCCAGGGATAGGGACTGAGTCCGTCTGGGAAAGGCAGCTGAATCTCGCTGTCAGCCAGGAGGAAAGCCAGGGAAATTCTTAAGCCTTTAAACACAGGTCCCAGGAAACCAAATTGCTCCTGATTATTGAGCACCTACTACGGGTCGGGCGCTAGGCCGATGGCTATCCCTACAAGCACTTCTCCCACACTGTGCGGGTATATGCTCTCACCCGCATCCGCAGAGGGAAACCGAGGCTCAGAGACGCGCGACAGCTAGCCAGGGATACCAAGTGACTTAGACGGCAGAGCCAGGTCTTGGACCCAGGCCTCCCCGATCCGGGCCTGAACGCTTCCCGCCAGACCCGGACACACTGACATCCTTACAGGGCCCTCACCTCCGGAGGAACTGGTGTGGACGAGACCCCGTCGACTCGGTGGGGAGGATCTCTCTGCACTTTTAAATAAACGGCCGTAGAATAGCTTAGGCCGGGGGTGGCTTCACCGCTCTCTTCTAGGAAAAGAGATTTTAAACTAGATTGACTCTTGTTGCGTTAGGACAGTGTGTGCATTGAATGAGGTTCCGTTTTGATGAAAGCAAACCCCCAGGCAAGACCGGCTCAGGTCACAGCATCCTCATCAGGAGGTGAATCCGAGACCGGCCCCGGGGTGGGGGGAGCGACGTTCCTGGGGCCTCTCTTGGATGCTGCCAAATGGACGCTTTCCTTGAGAATCCGTGGCTTCTGCAGACCCGGCAGCCCAGCCTCCGCCTCACGTGTTTCTCCTCCTCCCCCAGGGCCTGCAGTACATGGAGCTCATCCCCAAGGAGCAGCAGCCGGTGACGGGCACCGAGGGCGCCCTGTACCGCCGCCGCCAGCTCATGCACCAGCTCCCCATCTATGACCAGGACCCCTCCCGCTGCTGCGGACTTTTGGAGAACGAGCTGGCGCTGATGGAAGAATTCATCAAGCAGTACAAGAGCGAGGCCCTGGGCGTGGGGGAGGTGGCCCTGCCCGGGCAGGGGGGCATGCCCAAGGAGGACGGGAAGCACCAGGAGAAGCCAGAGGGGGCCGAGACAGCCGCCCCCACCCCCAACGGCAACGTCGGGGACCCGTCCAAAGACGTGGAATACGTAAGTCTCCCCCAGGCCCCCTGGTTGGGTTGAAAGGCCCAGCCAGACCCCCAGCACGAGACTCTAGTCCCCATTCCCACACTCTGTCCTGCGTCCACCCTGCGTCCACACCCACAGCCACACCTCTAACAGCTGTTGGGTGCTCACCCATTGTGCCACTCGCTTTAGCCACTCGCTGTGGGTAAAGGATACAAGACGTGTGGCCCAGCTGAGGGCAGAGACAAGCAAATTGTTGGCTTAGAGGGGGACAGGAAGGCAGGGAGGCCCACGCTGGCCTCCGAGGCTAAGCAGGAGTGACCCAGCCCCGACTTTCACGGATGTCGGTGTGGTTAGGAAGCAGACGGGGTGCCGGGGCGGCCTCAGAGAGCAGGTGCAGGCAGAGGGCTGACTGACCCCCATGCACAGCTGGCGGGGTGATGCGCTGGGGGTGGGGGATGCGGCCATGAGTTCAGAGGTGTCACCTGACTTCGCCTCTCAAGTATCAATTAATACCCCCATTGTCGGCCAAGCTCCCAGAAGCCAAGCAAGCAGAGGACACTGTCCCCACCTGCTCACGGACTCAGGCCTCTGCTCTGAGGTCCCCAGGAGCCATGAGGTGGCCCCAGCTCCCAGCCATGCTGCTGTTTCCTTTCATGACTCCACGGGGGCCTAATCTGGGAGGGTGCCCGGAGGCTGTGTGAGAAAACACAAGGAGAGGCCATCAGGGCAAAGCCTGGTGGATTGTCTGCCAGCCCACAGGGAGTAAAGGCCCCGCTGCCGCAGTGCTGCACAGGGCTGCCACCCACAGGGTCTCCAGGCCTCCCCCCCCCCAATCAGCCAAGCAGCCTCCATTCCTTCCGTGGCCTTGAAAATAAAAGCCCCAACCCCTGGGGTCCCCACGCCAACCCCCTGCCTTGCTGGGACAGGTTGGAGGCAGTCACCCTGGAACCAGACACCCCAGGGGCATGCCACTCTCCCGCCACTGGGCCTCCACGCAGACCAGGCACGGCCCCTCCTCCTGGCAGCGGCTCCAGTTCGCTGCTGCATCCCCCCTCCCTCCCGCCCCCCCACCAGCTCGGCCATGTGGGGTGGCAGCCAAAGACCCCTGGCCTCACACCGATTTATCTGAGCACTAAGACGAAAGAAGGAATTTGCTTTTCTGTGCCATGAGTTGGGTGATGGTGTCTAACAGGCCCTGCTGCCAGCCAAAACGCGTGTCCTGCTGCCCCCACAGTGCCACCCACGTGGGCTCTTGTGGGTCAAGCCGTGTGGACCGTTCCCAGCCGGAGGGGCGCCCAGCCCCACCTGCCCAGCCCGCTGCTCCTCACCTTTCCGGCCTGAGGCACCTGTGCGCAGCAGGCGGTGGCCTTCCTGCCCCCGTTGTTCCAGCCCCACCAGCCTCACGCCTGCCTTGCGGCGGCTTCCCAGACACCTGCTCAGAAATCAAAGATCAGACTTTCCAAGCCTGGCTGTTTGGCCAGGGAATCTGCCGTCCCCCGACCCCAAACTTGTAACTGAAGGAAGGGAACAGACATCCCAGGGCGCGGCAGTTCCTGCAATCTCCACGCTTGAGCCCCGGCCCTGCCTCCACACCGCCCTTTCCAGGCCCGATGACCCCGGGAAGCGGCGAGGTGTTGCTGGAGGGCGGCGAGGACCTTCCTTGAAGTCTTGCAGACTTGTTGGCCTGGTCCCAAATTATAGGGTGACCCTCTGCCCCCCTCTCCCCACACACAGGCACAGGAGGGCCGAGGCCTGGGCCCCCGGCCTGCGCCAAGTCTGCCTCTCAGACGGAAACTTCAGCCTCTGGCAGCTCAGCTGTGCTCTAGCCCCTGCGAGGGACATACTTGTGGGCAGGCGCTGCCCGGCCTGCCCCGGCAGATGTTTGGCTCCGGGCTCAGCCAGCCGCCTCTCCTGCCAGGCCCCCCTGGGGGCCGAAATGAGCGCCCCACCCCAGGCCCACACAGAGGGTAACAGGCCCAGGGACAGGTGGGGGACACAGCCAGAGACGTCCCTCTCCCCGCCTCCAGCTCCCCCTCCCCAGCTTCTCGGGGTGGGAACCCCAGGGCAGCAGCCCCCCAAAATTCACCGTGGTTACCAGGCTTCTCAACATCTGTGTCCCACGTCTTTATGGAGGAAATATTTTAATGACATTAAAGGAGGTTTTTTTTTCCACAAAAAATTTCCTCTATCCCATTTTTATACTATAAATACTTTCCCATGTTGCCACCTAAGCCTCAGACGCATTTTTTTTCTCCTGGAGTGGCCTGCAAAGTATTCCATTGACTAAAACGGGCTGGCTGACTTGTTCTGTAGAAGTCGCTAGTGAATCTTCTAGAGCTTGCGAGCCACGTGGTCTCCTTCCCTGGCACATGATAGCCGCCGTGGCCAGCAGCTAAAGCGGAGACCAGCGGGGCTGTGTTCCAGAAAATTTTATTTGCAAACATGAAAGTAGTTTGCTGACCCCAGAACTAGAAGAACCATAAAGCCAGTCTTAGCATTTCGTGAATGACTGGGCTTCATCCAGGGCCCTGGTCCACCCCAGCCCCCACACAGCCCCGGGCACCATGTTGGGGGGCCTGGCTCTATTGATGACCCCCCTCCAGGAGCACCCCTCTGCAGGCGCAGCCTTGAGGAACGCCTTCCCCTTCCCAGATGACCCGTGAGGAAGACGCCATTAGAAATGCAGGCCCTGTTCCCTCCCATGGCAGGGAGCCCCGCATTCCACAGTCTGCCCAGGAAGCAGCCTGCGGGGTGGGCCACCTCCGGGCCAACAGCAGCCCCGTGTCACAGAAGGGTTGCCGAGGCTCAGGGGTGGAGGGCTTGGATGCCAGAGCCTCATTCCAAAGCCGGTCACCCTAACGCTGGCCCCCACCCTGCAGCGTAAGGAGCCTCGGGGGGACAGCAGTGGGGGTGTAGGGAGCCTGGCACAAGAGGCTGTGGCTCCAGAAATGGGCCAGAAAAGAGAAAACAGCAAGCCTGGGGTCGTGGCTGCCAGAGAAGATGGTGAGTAATCACCATAAGAGGAGATGGGGAGTCTGTTTACATCGGTTGTTGAGTGCTTGCTTTGGAGGGAACCCAGCACCCCAATTCAAGGCCCTTGTGTTAATATTTATTGTGTTGCGAGCGTGAGCGTGTCACAAGGCACTCTGGCTCAAACCCGACAGGCCTTGGACACGAGCCTCTAGAAGAGAGCGGCTGGCGGGGACAGAACTAGCAGCCCCTGGAGCAGCTTCCTGCCGTGCAGAGGGTTCCCCATATCTGCTGACGGCTCAGTCCTCGCAGCCTGCTCATGGGCCGCGTGGCCCCGACCACTGTCCTTGCTCTGTGACTTGGTGACTTCATTTCAGAAGCCCACGGCGATGCCCCCCATCTAAGCTGCAGAGCCAACCACCTGACACATGGCAGCTTAAAAACAAGAGCATCAGTGTCTGTCCACGCAGCCACAGGCGGGGGCTGGAATCTTCTGCCACTGACCCACTCCCACCCTGGCCTCGAGGCGGGGCTGGCCCAGCAGAGGCCCTGGGCTGTCCCTCCATTGCTGAGTATTTCTTACATGTGGCCTGACTCCCAGGTGCAGGCTGAGAGAGCCCCCAGCCTTTCATGACCCACGGGGCGTCCCCAGCGCCCCTTCCACCACACTTTCAGTGACGTGAGCTGCTGTGGGGGGGCCCACTTTCAAGGAAAGGGAGTAGACACCCCTGGGGAGAGCATTGAGAACTTGCCAGACCCAGTTCAGTGCGCCAGGGCAGAGGGGACCCCACCCCTGCAGGGTCCTGGCCTCTGGGGCAGCTGACTCCAGAATGTCCCTCAGCTTGGTCAAAGTAGGTGCCTGCGCTTCCACCCAAAGGGCAGAAGGTTCTGTAGCCTGCCCTTTAGATCCGTGTAACTAGGAAGCTCTCCCCATCCGGTCAGGGACAGGGCAGTGTGCCCTGGCAGGGCGAGGACCCCACCTCTGGCCAACTTGTGAGAGGTCAGTGCCCCAGTGGTTGCATCCTCCCCTGGGTGGGGTGATCTGCAGACTCGTGTGCAGGCGTGTCGGAAGCACAGTCCAGTGGGAGTGTCCACGGGGGCCCCGCAGGACTGCTCTGCCGGCCACGCTGGCTCCTCACAAGGAGCTGGCCTGAGAGAGACCCGCTGGGCTTCCTAAAGAAAGACCCCGTGGGGGCAGCCCAGGCATCCAGACTGGCTCTTGCTGTGTCTGCAGCGAATTGGTTTGAGCTCATAGATCAGGTCATTCTTAAGCATGTCCCCAAAGTTTGGCCCCCACACCAGCCTCGGCAGTCGCCCTAGCAAATCCTGGGGCGGGGGCCCGGGCGGAGTGTCCAGCCCCCCCTGGGACCCTGGGTCTCTGCGTGGCCGACGCGCTCTGTGTCCACTTGGCTGGCGTCCTTGGCCAGGCGGCGACCGCGCCCCCTCGGCGGAGGCCCAGGCGGTGACCCCAGGGGGCGTGGGCCGGCAGCCCCGACCCGCATGCCGTGAAAGCACACCCTTCCGCAGGTCTCGCGGTGGCGGGCTGTGCATTATGGGCTTGGAGGCCGGGACGCCTCGGGCGGGAGCAGCAGCCATGCATGCTGTTCGCCGGGCAGGACATCACCCACTTTGGGGCCCGGGCAGGGCCGCTGGCCAGGTCACCCAGGAAGCGGAGCCGGGTGGGGTGCTCCTGGCGCGCGGCCCCTGCCCTCCTGACCACGCGTCCTCGGCCCCCAGGTCTGCGAGCTGTGCAAGGGCGCGGCCCCCGCCGACAGCCCCGTGGTCTACTCGGACCGGGCGGGCTACAGCAAGCAGTGGCACCCCACCTGCTTCGTGTGCGCCCAGTGCCGCGAGCCGCTCGTGGACCTCATCTACTTCTGGAAGGACGGGGCGCCCTGGTGCGGCCGCCACTACTGCGAGAGCCTGCGGCCCCGGTGCTCCGGCTGCGACGAGGTGAGGCCTCAGGCCGTGGGCGGCGGGGTGGGGTGGGGTGGGGCGGACCCCCGGCCGCAGGCAGCGGGGCAGACTCGAGGATGGGATGTAAAGGCAGGGAAACTGAGGCACAGGCCTGGCTTCGTGCTCTCAGCCTCTGCTTTCTCAGCTGCAAGATGGGGCCCGTCCCCACGGGGGGAGCAGGGTGGTCAGGCACCAGCGCCCTCCACGGTGCCAGCACTGAGCTCATGGTCAGAGGACACGGGTCCCCGGGGGCAGGCGGCCATGGTCAAACCCGGCTCTGCACCCGTTCGCCGTGTGTTTGCCTGCGCCCGCATTTGCCCCTGATAAGGGAGGGGGCGGTCGGCGCCGTGTGAGGAGGACGGGTCAGCCGGAGAATGCTCGGCCCAGGGCCCCACCCATAGCTAGCACGAGGCGACCGGCTGGCTGGGGCCTAGGCCCGGCTGTGGGACTTGCTGACAGGAGGGAGCACGGCACGACCCCGCCTGGGAGCGGGAGATGCCGGGAGCGGACCAGCCCTCGCTGTGGTCTGCGCACGGGAAGCCCACGGGGCGGCAGCAGTTCAGGCGCTAGCAACCACCATCCGTGTGCCTGACATGAGTGCAGCCCAGCGGGGCCGGCTCTGCCTCCCCACCGTCCAGCTCCCAAACCCTACGTGATGGGATTTCAGCCCCTTGGATAGAGGTGGAAACTGAGGCCCAGGGAGATTTGGGGATTTGGCCACAGCGCTGAAGCTGGGACGTGTTTAAGTGAGACCTCACAGGGAGGGGTTCCCGGTCGACTCTGGAATCCGAAGGCACGTTTAGCCAGTGTGCAGGCCCGCTCCTGCTGGGCCCCAGATTCCTCACCATACAGGGAGAGGAGAGAGACAGTAGGGGAGGGGAGCGTTCAAAGTGACCCTCTACTCCGACCCCAGGTGGCCCTGGCCGCCCTCCTCCTGAGGACCAGCCATTGGCAGCTCAGCTCTTGTTCGCCTGTCTGCACCGGGGTGTGGACCCCAGCCCAGGACACAACTGGGCTTCCGAGCTGACCTCCCCCCGCGCGTCACCCACTAGGATGGCCTTCACCAAATATCGTTACTTACTGCCTCAGATACATGTTGGACCTGTCCATGGAGGCCTGTAAAGGCCAAAATGAGCACAGGGCAGGCAGAACCCCTCTGACCTGTCCCAGTGTGCTCTCTGCTAGGTCAGACCCTGAGTCTCACGTTCCCTCTTTCCCCCCCAGATCATTTTCACGGAGGACTACCAGCGCGTGGATAACCTGGCCTGGCACCGGAAACACTTCGTGTGCGAGGGCTGTGAGCAGTCGCTGAGTGGCCGGGCGTACATCGTCACCAAGGGGCAGCTCCTGTGCCCGACTTGTAGCAAGTCCAAAAGCTCCTGAAGGGCTGCCCCCCAAGGCCAGAACCCGAGAACCCCTGGGAGGGAGTGAAGGGTGCTGAGGCCCTCCCAAGGGCCAGCAAACAACAGACACTGATTTTTTTCAGTGGGAATAGCCATCTGCATGTTCTAGGCTGGGGGGCGGTGGATCCTAAGGGGTCCACAGTTCCCAAGGCAGAAGTGTCCTGAGAACTCTCAGAGTGGAGTTACTTTTTGTTGTTTCCCAGCTGCCCACTAAAGACACAATCAGCATCCTGCAAGGGCTCTCCAGGAGGAGTTTCCCAGAATGCACTTGTGAGTGATGGAATCCTATAGCTGTAGGAAGTGCCTGCTTTTTCCCGAAGGTGGGAGCTCCCCCAGGACGGGCGAGCATCCCACCCATCATGCGTTGCCTTCTTTTCAAATGGAATTTGAATTTTAAATAAAAAAAAACTTTTATGTGTATCAATAAAAGTCTTAGGAAGTCCACAGACATCCTTATCTAATTATTTACAGCTCAGGGACTGGGCCTCCCAGGGGTGGCTCTGCCCCGCAAATGCTGCCGCCAGCAGGGAGTGCTGTGACCCTGGGCAATGCTTCCTCAACGGTGCCTCATCACACTTCTAGGAGTGAAAGTCTCAGGGGCAGAAACCCCAACTCCAATTCCAGGGACCCCCAAATCACAGATGGAGCATGAGGCTCATGTTTCACGGTCCCGTAAAGGTTTCCTGGGACCTGGGACTAAATAGGGATGAAGCTGCCCTCGGAGCCAGGCAGGCAACAAAAGCCCCCCCACCTGGAAGAGAGGCCAGTACGGTAATGGGGAGCAGCCACACAGGGTCACCTAAGCTCAGCTCCTGGATGCCCCCGGTGACGTGGTGACCAGCTGCACAGCGTGGGGTTTTAGGAGAAACCTCTGTTTTGAGATGTTGCCAACCAAACATGAAGTGAGCCCAATCCAACAGGGCCCGCGTGGGCTGCCGCCTCTCTAAGGCCTCTGAGCATCTGCAGGCCCCGAATTAGTTTCCTTCCCGCTATTTCTAAGAGAAAACGTCGCAGCTTCTCCTGGAGCACAAGGACGAAACAGGCGCAAGTCCCCAGAGCTCGCCACCCGGTCACCCCCGCCTTTTTTTCCCCTTGACATTCCAACCTGCTCCCAACTTCCTTTCATTTCACACCTAAAGTCCACTCTGGCCACCGCTCCCTGACCCCACCCATGTGCTCTGCAAGTTTCACCTGCTGCAGCTCCCCCCACTGGCGGAGTGTCCGAGCCTCTGTCCAGTCACCCTCAGCATCCCTGGCAGGTCCACCTTCTCAAGGAGAAGTTGGGGGGTCATCCCCCTCACCCGCCCTCCCCACTGCCTCTCAAGTTAAGAGCCAAGTTCCCGCCCTGATATTTGAATCCTTCCAAACCTGGCTTCATTGTCTTTCTGCCCTGAAACCATTTCTTTCTCTGGATTTCCACGCCTCCCAGACATTCAGAAATGCCCTTCATCAAGCCCTCACGCCCCGGCCGGGCCTTGGCTAGTTCCGTGCTTGTGACTCAAACGTCACCGGCTCCTGTTGAAACTCTGTCCTGCAGGTGCTCCTCGGCAGAACAAGCTGCTCACCCCTCCCAAACACCAGTGGAATCTACGCTCGTCTTTTCGCTCATTCATTCATTCATGTCACAAACGGTCACTGAGCCTACAGGGCTCCGTTCCCACCCTGAAGCAAGGGGCAGGTGCTCACAGGCGGGGCAGTGCCCCCGGCCCTGGAGGATACAGTCCGTGCCTGGAGGTGGGCCCGGGACATGCTCCCGTCAGGAAGACAGCAGCGCTGTGGCTGCAGGAGAGGGTGTGTGATGCTATAAAGCATATGAAAGAGATTGGGTCTGGGGAGACCCCCCAGATCTCCCCACTGGGATATGGGAAGAGGACATGTTTCTGGGGCAGGCACACTGGAACAGTCATCTAAAGGGTGAGGTGCTCCGAGCAGGCAAAGAGGGGAAGGATGGCAGTGAAATATGGATGCAAGGGCGTGTGCAAAGGCCCTGCGGTTGAGCAGCACTCATTGATTCAAGGCCTGTTTACCAGTGTGGGGGCGTCCAGACACACAGAGCGCGGATGAACTGCCAGACACTCGGGCCGCCAGCGCACCCTCCTCCTCCTCCTCACGGCTCCCACTGCACACACAGGTGAAAAGCAAAACCAGCCTGGCGGTCGAGTTCTGTGGTTTTCTTCAGTCCCACTCACCTTGCTTCAGAAGCCGAGTGGACAGCTGGCGGGCCTCGGACGAGCCCTGTGCGTTCCCTCCCTCTGTGCCACCACTCCCGCCGCTGCCTCTGCCCGGGTGTCCCCACATGGTGCTCCAGGTCCACCTCCTCCTCCGCAGGGCCCCGTGGCTGGGTGGGAGTCTGCGCCAGAACAGGAAGGACGTGCAGCGTAAGCTGTGCGTGATTTCCCCTCATCGGCAAGAAGGCGGCCGGCGCCCATCACTCTAGAGGACCTCCCTGCCCTCAGCAGCCTCTCAACCCTGCGGAACTTCAGGGACCTTCACCCACACCTTCATGACACCCATGCCCACGGCCGGCACCAATTCTGTGGTGCTGAGCTTCTCAGCCAGTGAAAGGTCCTCCATGAACTTCGTGAGAACAGTCTCCACATCTTTGCTTCCCCAAGCCTTAGTGAAAGGCCTCACAAGTCAAAGCAGGACCAACCACCTAAGGCTCTGGGCCCCTTCCCTGTTGGACACTTGGCACTGGGCTCCAAAGTGGCCTAAATCAAACATTTCACCCAGAGGCCAACACTGTTGCCTGTCCACATGCTGCCATTCTCCACCCCGTGTCCTTCCTGTGGGGCGAGACCAGTCGCTTTTCCAGCCTCTCTTGCAGCTAATCAGAGGGCACAGGACTCCGTTCTGTCCAAAGGGGCCTTCACCCTTGCTGTCAGGGAGCCCAGGGTGTTTATATTCCCTGGGGGTGGCTTTGATCGGCCCAAGATGGGTCACGAGCTTCTCCCTTGACCAATTACTGAGCCCAGAGGGCGGGGGCACTCTGGCCGTCCCTTGATCAGGCACCAAGCAGCCACCCTCAAAGGGGATGCAAAGGACAGTCACACCCACAGGACGTGGAAAGAGAGGAGCCCTGTGGGATGGGAGGTGGCCAAGGGGATCCTCCTGGGCCAAGTGGGGCTTCCTCCAGTCAGGAAGGGCGGGTGAGGCCGCAGGAGCAGAGCTGAGAAGGAAGCATCTGAGAAGCGGGAAGAGACATCACCGCTGGAGTCTGAGGACCGAGACAGGATGGGGTCAGGAGCTCCTGGGGGATCAGCCACAAATAGCGAGGCTGGAAGCCAAGTCACAAAGCTCATCTTGAAGCAATTACTGTGCCCCTTAAAGGCTCATTTGTCTTGATACTTTTTTAATTACTGGCAAGATAAGACGAATGCTTTTAAAGGGCTAAATAAAATGGTATTCCCTCAAGGAAATGTCTTAAGGGCTCTATTGTGGCCTCTTTATTTTTCTTTAATCTTACAAAAGATGATAGAGATGTCCTAAACTTTTTATGGGAGAAGTTTAATAAACGTGAAGGATGAGCTTCCGTGCATTCAAATAGGGAGGGTTTTAAAATAGCAGAGTGACACAACCACAAATGATCCCAATATGTTAGATCATGCAGCGCTGGCACCGCTTCAGGTTTTAATCAAATATATAAATTATGAAACATTGTTGCAAAGAATTGCAAGCCTTGGCCCTACAAGGGAATGGATTGTTCTTGGGTTGGCAGGAGCCTGAGGAGACCATCTTCAGCTGATAAGAGGAGAAGGAGCAGGAGCAGACAGGCTGGCAACCTTGGCTGACACAGCTGGGGCTGAAGCTGCACAGAAACTCCCCGGCCCAAGTCCAGAAATGTATTGGCTGTTCCACATATCGCTGCCCCCTTAGCATCAAGGCTCAGCACCAGAGCCCCCTCCTCCAGGAAGCCCTCGTGGATTCCGTCAGTAATGCCCTCCCAACTGACAGTCCTCAGTCAGCCTCTGTCACTTGTCTCCCAAACAACTGGCATCTCACTAGCTCATGAGTCTTTCTTTGGATCACTCACTCAATGTGCATTTTCTCAGCACCTTGAGTGGGCAGTGTGCACACAAGTTAAAGTCCATGGCTGAGGTGACATGGGATCTGTTGCAAGTAATTCATGGGAGGAACTTCACCTCACAGGGAGCTGGTTAGACATGATGCTCTGGGGAGCCTTTGCTCTGGAGGGGAAGGCTGCCTCCAGCCTCATGGAGGACCGTGGTCTGCTCTGGTAGATGGACTGGCCTCCAGGGATCCAGAAGTTTAACAGGACACCTTTCTGAGGTTAAACTTCACATTCCACACTTCCCTGCACAGTTTCCCACTACAGAGGACTGAGACCACCTCACTGCGGGACATGGAGTCAGGAGGGCCCATCGCGACTTCCAGAGACACGTGCTGGGTGGGAGAATGAGCCTGGGTTATACCTGTACATCCACATTTTTAAAGGAAAGCATTTTTTTCTTAATTAATCAAAGCTTCTTAAAATCCAAGCCTGGAAGAAAGTGCCCAATATTCTAGATGAAATGCCTGAAGCCTAAAAAGAAAACACCTTATTTGGAACAACTGAGTCATATTTACATGTCTCCAGGGCCACTTCCAAGGAACCAGAGAAAAGCCAGCACCTTCTCGTCAGAACCTCTGGATGCCCCACTGGCCTCAGGGGGATTGGCTTTGGTTTTTGTTGGTTTTTTTTGTTTTGTTTTGTTTTTTCATTTCTCCCATATTCAGAGTCAGGAATGACTTCTGTAGACAATGTGTATTAGTTTGGGTTTCTGTTAGGCTGGTGATCTGCCAGAGTGACAGCTTCCAAATTTTGCCCAGATATGATTGCTTTCTCTAGAATGGCAACCCCCCGCCCCCACCTGCCCCCACCACCTCCCTGCCCAGCCACCACCTACCTGCCCCCACAACCTCCTCCCAACCTGAGAAAGCACATGTGGCCTTCTGATCCACTTTGAAAACAGACTGCCTGGGCAACTAAAATCACTCAGGCACCATCTGCTGAAGAACACTCCTTTCTCAAATTTTCAAGGTAAACACAGATCAGATGAATGTTGTATGATGACAGCTGGGGCACCCTTCATTCCAGGAAACTTTCCAGATTCATGCTAAACCGCTGACCAGCCTGGAGAATGGCTGTGAGCCACTTAGTCCAATCAGAACGTTTAACAGTTGGTAGGGGGGGAAAGGACTGAGACCCACAGAACAGCCCAAATGCAAGGCATGTGCCTGGATAGCTGGAGAGGGAAGTTCAGGTCCAGAACATCCAGGGAGAGGTGGCCCCAGCACTCCAAGGCAGAGCTGGCTCAGCCCCACTCTGTGGTGAATTTCCAACAGACTTTGCTGTCTTCTCCATCAGGAGAGACACTCTGGAGAGAAAGTTAGGCACCTGGGGCCTCCCCGGTGGCGCAGCGGTTGAGTGCTAGGTTGCGAAGCTGCCTGCAGCCTCTGCATTGC